AGTTTTAAATAAATAAAAAAATTAATTATTTAAATGATACGTAAGGTTGTATAAAAATGTAATATAAAAAAATTACTTGTAAATTATTTTTTATTTTTTTATATTATCTTTTTATACAACTTCTACATATCAATAAATGAGTAGATACATTCAATATTATATATTTCATATAAATAAAAAGAGTCAATTGATATTTAAAGTTGTACAAAAAAAAAAAAAAAAAATTATTTTTTATTTTTTTATATTATCTTTTTATACAATTTCTACATATTAATAAATGAGTAAATACATTCAATATTATATATTTCAAATAAATAAAAAAAGTCAATTGATAATTAAAGTTGTTTAAAAAAAAAAAAAGTGACTAAAAAGATTATCCTTACCTCATTTTCCATATTTTTCTGTTATTCTGGCTGCTAGAATTGAAATGGGAAAGAAAATCCAGGAAAAATCTGATATCCAATGAACGTTACCATAGCTTTTCAATTTCTTAGAGCTGAGATTCTCAAATTCTTTTGTTCACTCTTTAAAACCCATTTCTGGTTTTCCCATTAATTCTTTTACAGTATATATCAGTGGTGAAAAATGGCCAGAACATTGATTCCACTGTTGATTATTCTGTTTCTTTGCTGCTGCTATGCATCGGTCGTTGAAGCATCAAAGAAAGCATCCAGAAAATATATGAAATACAAAGATGCAACGCTACCAGTGGAAGTAAGGATTCAGGATCTGTTGAAGAGAATGACTCTTGCTGAAAAGATTGGACAGATGGCCCAAGTCGAACGTGAAAACATGACTGCTCATATTGTAAAGAAATACAAGATAGGTAAATTACTAATGCCTTTGAATACTTACCTACATGTACATGCATCAGCAGCTCTGATAGATCCTCATAAATCATTATGGCGCAGGGAGTATGTTCGGTGGCGGAGGGAGTGCTCCTGCTCCTGCTCCTAAGGCTTCTCCAAAACAATGAGTAAAAATGGTGAACAAGTTTCAAAGGGGAGCTCTGAGAACTCGTCTTGGGATCCCCTTGATCTATGGGATCGATGCTGTTCATGGACACAACTATGCGTACAATGCCACCATTTTCCCTCAAAATGTTGGCCTAGGAGTAACCAGGAGAATTTTTTGTGCACGCAAGCCATGAAACGAAGTTTTTCTCTTTTTTTTTTTTTGTGCACTTTCTTCAACCATCTTTCTCTTTGTCAACAGGGATCCTGAGCTGGTAAAGAGGATTGGAGCTGCAACTACTCTTGAAGTTAGAGCAACTGGCATGCGTTATGCATTTGCACCGTGCATTGCAGTTAGTCCACAACTCTACTCTTAATTTTCTGAAAAAAAGAATTATATGTTTACGAGAATCAGTAATAAGTCCCTTATTGATTCCTTTCTTCATCAACAATCAAAATGCACGTATGCAGAGATCCTAGATGGGGCTAGTTGTTATGAGAGCTATAGTGAGGACCATAAGATTGTACAAATGATGACCGAAATCATCCCAGGATTGCAGGGAGATGTTCCAAAA